GGGAAACCGTGTCGAATATTTAGAAGAGTTCGAAGCAAATGCTGCTCATGCAAAAGAAGTTCACATGCAAATGAAATAAATATGAAAATCGAAACATGATAGAGGAAACAATGAGCGGGCCCGATGCAACCACACATTAACTTCCTCGGGATAAAGGTTTGCTTGCTCAATGAGAAAACTGGCTGCTGACTGTTCTTCTGGTTTTCCTTTTGGTGGTGGGAAGTTTTCATTGCCAATTTCCATCAAAGCCATGGACAAAATCCTCAATTCGAACCTTTGTATCTTTCTTTAGGAAAAACAATGATAAATCAGACAACTTATGATGAGACCAATGCACCTCAATCATTGAGTAATGCGGACCTCACATGGGATCCACGTGATTCGACGTATGAGATTGAAGGCCTGTGTGCACGTGATTTATGCAAGTATAGCTTAAATGTATCTGGCAACCTTTGGCAAAAGAACTCAAAAGAAGAAAAACATACGATTCACTACTCATGTGCAAGTTAAGAGCACTTTGTGGGGTCCTTGTGAAAAAAAAAAGACAGAAAAGAGGAAAAATACCTAAAAAAAAATAGCTTAACTTTCACCCAATGGCCACTTATATAACTTTACTTATGAAATTACCAAATACATATCCAAGTTTTGTCTTTGGAGGTTACATTACATTTTCACATCAATTATCCCGGTGACCCTATCAACGAAATTATCATTTTCTTCAAAAAAATGCCAATCTTTAATCCTAAATCCTCACACCTACCCAAAACACTCGAAACCAATAAAAAATCGGGAAAAGTGCCAAAAAAGTCCTAAACCTTTGCATTAATAGTCATTTAGTCCTAAACCTTTTTGGTGCCATTCAATCTAAATCTTTTGCATTTGTGCCAATTTAGTCCTAAACCTTTTTTTGGTGCTTAATTAAGTCTAAACCTTTTAAATTGGTGTAATTCATCCTAAACCTTTTTGTTTTTGTGCCAATTTAGTCCTTCCGGTCAATTTTGATCGGAATTTGCTGACGTGGACGGCTGCCGGCCGGCGATCGGTCACCGGCGCCGACGTGGCGCTGACGTGGACAAATTAAATAATATTTTAATATTTTTTGAATTTTTATTTTTTTCCTTTTTTTTCTTTTTTTTTCCACTTTTTTTTTTGGTCCCCCCTCCTTCCTCTGGCCGGTCGCCGGTCCGGCGACCGGCCAGAGGCCAGAGGCCGGCGAGCTCGACCTCGCCGGCCACTGGCGAGGGCGGCGGCCTCGCCGGCGAGGGCGAGCCTCGCCATGGTCGGGCGAGGCCCGACCTCGCCGGATCTGGCGAGGTCGAGCCTCGCCCAGCCGCCGGCGAGGCCCGACCTCGCCAGATCCGGCGAGGTCGGGCCTCGCCCGACCATGGCGAGGCTCGAGCCCTCGCCAGAGGCCGCGGCGAGGGCGAGCCTCGCCATGGTCGGGCGAGGCCCGACCATGGCGAGGCTCGCCCTCGCCGAGGCCTCCGGCGAGGGCTCGAGCCTCGCCACTTCGCCCGACCTCGCCCAGCCGCCGGCGAGGCCCGACCTCGCCAGATCCGGCGAGGTCGGGCCTCGCCCGACCATGGCGAGGCTTGAGCCCTCGCCAGAGGCCGCGGCGAGGGCGAGCCTCGCCATGGTCGGGCGAGGCCCGACCTCGCCGGATCTGGCGAGGTCGGGCCTCGCCGGCGGCTGGGCGAGGCTCGACCTCGCCAGATCCGGCGAGGTCGGGCCTCGCCCGACCATGGCGAGGCTCGCCCTCGCCGAGGCCTCCGGCGAGGGCTCGAGCCTCGCCACTTCGCCCGACCTCGCCCAGCCGCCGGCGAGGCTCGGCCTCGCCAGATCCGGCGAGGTCGGGCCTCCCCGACCATGGCGAGGCTCGCCCTCGCCGCAGGCCGCGGCGAGGGCGAGCCTCGCCATGGTCGGGGAGGCCCGACCTCGCCGGATCTGGCGAGGTCGAGCCTCGCCCGACCAAGGCAAGGCTCGCCCTCGCCGGGCGAGGCCGCCGCCCTTGCCAGTGGCCGGCGAGGTCGAGCTCGCCGGCCTCTGGCCTCTGGCCGGTCGCCGGACCGGCGACCGGCCAGAGGAAGGAGGGAGGGAAAAAAAAAAAGTGGAAAAAAAAAGAAAAAAAAGGAAAAAAAATAAAAATTCAAAAAAATATTAAAATATTATTTAATTTGTCCACGTCGGCGCCACGTCGGCGCCGGTGACCGGTCGCCGGCCGGCAGCCGTCCACGTCAGCAAATTCCGGTCAAAATTGACCGGAAGGACTAAATTGGCACAAAAACAAAAGGTTTAGGACTGAATTGGCACCAATTTAAAAGGTTTAGGACTTAATTGGCACCAAAAAAAGGTTTAGGACTAAATTGGCACCAATGCAAAAGGTTTAGGACTGAATTGGCACTAATGCAAAAGGTTTAGGACTTTTTTGGCACTTTTCCCATAAAAAATCAGACCACTCAAATCCTAAGCAAGATGCTAAAATGAGTTTGCAATGAGGAGCAATTTTGTCTTTTAAATGTAGGGTTTTGATTAGAGGTATATGAATGCTATTTGAATAACTAGAGTTGTATGTAGTCATTGTCGACAGTAAGATATGTTTTTGTATTCTCTCCGGGAAAAAAGGACCCGGTCTAAGATCAGTATAAGCATCGCTTTACAAAATTGAACAGCAAATCATACAATTATTTATAGAAGAAATGAAGCAACGAACTTTGATAGCTACTTGAATAAGTGAGCCATGTTTAAATAATCAATAAAGATGTATCTCATCTTCTACAAATCAGTTAGATAAACTAGTTTTATATTTCTAGCATTGATAACAAGAAGAGACAATAGCAAAATTTAGTCCTTGAACTCCTAGTCAATGTTCAATATGGTCTATGAATTTTAATTTTGGTCAAATTGATTCTTGTGCTCTTTGATTCGAATCAATTTGGTTTTTCCTATATGGTTCTGTAAATGAGGAATTAATCATTTATAATATTTGATGACTAATCTGATCAAACAATACCAATCCATTCTTCAACAAATAAGTATGGCTTTGTCGGATTTCCAATTTTTTTGGCTCAATATACTACTTTGAATGCATGCAAACTGCTTTATGCATGTGTTAATTATATAGCGTTGTATAAGACTTCACCTATAAAATGGTAAGCACAATCCTAAGATTATCTTAACTAAAAAAATACTAGGATCCAAATATGACTCCAACGTATCTTAACCAAATGTGAAACTATTTAGCCATCGTCAAGTGTTCTATGATTTGGTTAATTCTCGATTTGACTATTTATTTGGTACTTTGCAGAACTATTGAGTTCTTCAATTAGGTTGATCTATCTTGGATTGATGTAAATCACTGGATATATTGAAGAGAGTAGCCTATATATAACAATAAATTTGACAAACTCTACTCAAAAGGGTAAGTAGAGACATCTAGCATGATTACCTCCTTTGAACGTGACTCATACATAATTACAAATTTGGCCTGTCAGGTTCTTAACTTTAAGTTGGTTTAATAGGATTCCATTTTCTTGATGTGGAGGATAACCTACTTATCCTTTACAAGCACATTCATATGAATTGTTAGATGGTATCTTGTTCATCAATAATATCAAGTGTGTTGTTAGATATGGTATCACCAAACAGTTACTACACTAATCATGGATACTGAAGTTTCATCGTTCAAAACTCAAGTGGTTACAAATGGATCTGCAATTAAAGTTGAGATGGGGCCGATTTGATGATAAAACATCAACCCAACATGAAGCAACAAGCATCATTTAAGCATGACATACTTTTCTTCCGTCATTTAATACATGAGATACCTTGCTTGTGATCATTTGCGGAATGATTGGTTCACGATTTGTTTACCTTTTTCAGTTTTTGAATAGATACTATCTTCTCAAAAACAAGCAAAGAATCATCTCAACATGTGTATATACACATTGTATTGTAACTAAAATTCTTTTGGAGAGGATCGGTAAATTTTAGATTAAGCAAAAAACATGTCCACATGTCTTTTTTTGGGTTCAGATTAAGCAAAGAACCATCTCAACATGTCTTCATACTGCCGAGGCCGCGGACCGGCGGAGGGAAATAAGAAAAAAAAGGAAAAATAAAAAGGAAAGAAAAAAACAAGCAAAAAAAAAAAGGAAAAAAATCTTTTTTAAAAAATACAAAAATTGTCCACGTCAGCACCGGTTGTACCACGTAGGACGGCTGACGTTTACGTGAGCGATTTCTAACTAAAATTGGCCAAAATGAATGCATTGGCAAATCGTCAAAAGATTTAGCACTAAATTAGTCGAATTGAAAAGTTTAAGACTGAACTAGCATCCGCACAATGGATATATGACTTTTGTGGTAATTTTTCGCAACCTTTCACAGATTATACGAGTTATACGTATACCAAATACTCTGATTTGGACACAACCATATATCTAAGTGTTTCCAAGTGAAGACATAGGCAACCACAAATTAACTGCTCTTAAATTCCATTAATTTGACTATGGAGTAATTATAAAAATATATTTAAAAAAAAACAGCTTTCAATGGATGAGACGAGCTTCGTTGTAGCACCAAGAACGAAGAAAAAACAAAGAAGAAAAAAAGGGAAAAGAGAATTGAGTGGATCGAGATAATTAACGATATATGACCGATGGGAGGAGGATCTTACGAAACAATCAGAACATGACACGTGTGGCTTCGGTAGGACAAGGAAGAGCAAGCTGGGCGGCGAGAACGGAGAAGAAGAATGACTTCACAATGTTCAAAATAGACATATGAATGACAATTCTTATTTTTCAACATGTTGTAGTGAATGAGACCACGTAAAACCATATGACCGGACCACAAAATGAAATTGAAGAGAAGGTAGAGCTATCTGTCCCCACCCGACCTTGATTCTCGTTAATGACAACTTCAACGATACGACACGACAACATTATTCCAAACATCCTATATCGATATAGTCTTATTGGTGTCCATGCCTAAAGTCTTATCTACGCCTCGGACAGGAATTCGACAAGCCAGTCTTCATAATACATGCCCAATCCAGGTTTGTAGAGACAGCCGAGATGAACCATCAACAGCCAGACAAAGGCGAGGAGCTCTCCACCGCGGCTCAGCACCTGCACGTGCGCGTCTCCCTTGATATGAGTCGCCGCAAAGGACAGCATCTCCACCCACACTCCGCTCATCACCTCCCACTTCTTTTCCCCGAGCCTCCCCATCTCTTCGGCCAATTTGACCCCCTCGAAAACCGCGGATCTTTGAAACAGACGATCTCGCGCTTTCCCGCCATGCTCAAACAGGTCCATGCATGCCCTCTCTACATCCTTGGATGCAGGATTAATGATGTTTGCCCGTAGTTGGTCCAACGTGTCCGTTAATCTCTCTTGGACAATTCCCGCCACAGCGGACACCACATGAGACTGATTAAGTAAAAGATATAACACGTAGTCGGAGAGGATCTTGCTGAATTCCCTTTCCTCATGTCTAACTGTGATTTTCTCTCTGTTGTACCACATTTCAGTAGCAAGATGCCATACTAAAATACTTGCATCATAAGTGGTCTCGGTGACATATGCTAAAAGATTCCCACGATCGATAGCCTCGAGTCTCCTCTCGAGAAACAGATTACCTCTTGAATCAAATATCTTCATTACCTCTGTGGAATCATTCGCATTTTGGGATTTACGTCTCACCTCTTTAAAGATAAAGATCCATAACTTCTTAATGAAGGGATTCTTGGACAGGTACTTCATATTCACATTCGGTGACCAACAGTGGGTGATTATATACCTAGCTTGATGGAAACAAGAGATGATCTCCTTTGCCATACGGAGTGGGATACTACAGATATTAGAACAACCGGTGATGCCCAAGCACCCATCACACTTGTACATCTTTCTTGGATCGTCCTTTAAATTATCGAGCTTGTACATCTTTCTCGGACTCTCCTTTAATATCTCGGATATAAGGTTGCAAGCAGAGATGGATTCCGACCACCTTCGAAATATTAATGGTGTATCTAAGACCGCGTACGTAACATTGGCGTTTGGGTCTACTTCACATGTGGCAAATCGGGGCTTCCTCAGGTCATAAATGGCAGATACTAAGTTACTAAGACGTGGATGCAGATCACATAAATCTCTGCTGCGCCTCTCGTGCTTGTTAACAACGGTCCACTCGGAGAAAACAAGCTTGAACAGAGCTATCACATCAAGAGCAATCCCTCCGAAAAAAAGGGAATAAGTAATTTCCAAATCGACTTTGGGGAGTCGATGCTTCTTCATGCAATTGAACAGGACGAAGGCCAGGGCAATGCCAATGAAGGCTATGAAGCGGAAAATATAGCTCAACTTGCAATGTATTGCCAAAGCTTTTGTATAGAGAATCTCATAAATGAAATGGAGTTCAACTGACATCACTCTCAACGCATCCATCGCAGAAATTTTGCAGAAATATTTGCGGCACAATTCGCGTATGTCGCGTGTGAACATGAGATCTCCAATGAAGATCGAAGCTACGAGATAGAGGGGGTAAGCATTCTTCACCACAATGCTCTCAGTAAACTTTGCTTCTTCTTCATCAGAATATCTATATGTTAGAGCATCGAGTTGTTTACATAACTCATGAAGGGAACGATCAGTTGGGTCCCCCACCTTCTTGAGCATCGAAATTCTCGAGAAAATAAGTGCCAGTGTTCTCTCTGCATTTTTTATGACCCCAGCAAGAAACACCAGCATCGTTGGGATCACTAGCGACTTGTCGATGGGAAATATCTGCACAAAGACATAAATGACAGCACTGACTTGGAAGATAAAATTGAGCAGGTGCCGTCGCCAAAGTGAACTATCCTCCAAAGAAAAGGCAGTGATGGTGTCCGGACCGCCAAGATGTAACAAGAGAAAGGAGGCCCAAGATGCCTGAAGTGCTCTATCTAGTTCAGCTGCACAAGCGCATGAATTGCCTTGATTGTGAGAGATGAGCCCGATTGCGAATACAGCCACCCAGTCAGCCATCAAATAGGCCAACCACAAGAGTAAAATGATGTGCTCATTGGTTGTTTTCTTTCTAAGGGGTGCAAATAGAAAGAGAAAGAACTGAAGCGAGATGCTTAGTAACACGAAACCTCGGATGTTCCATTTGTTCCACAGATCTGAAATGGAGCTAAATGCCATGCTTTTGCTTATTTTGAATTTTGTCGCTCCTCTCGAATATAATTATGGGTACAACAAAATGAATAGAAGGAAGAGAGAGTAATATATATATATATATATATATATATATATGTTGAGATGGTTCCTTACTTAATTGTCAGAATATAGTAGCTATTCAAAAATCAAAAAAGGTCAAAGAATTGGGACCCAACCATTCCGTGAATGAACGCAAGGAATGTGATATCTTCTCGGAGAAAGAGAGATCACTTATAATTGTTGTTGTTGTTGTTGCTGTTGTTCAGACAAAGAGAAGGTATCATTTTATTTTTGTGTTTATTAAAAAAAATTTGTTGTTGATTTGTTTATTTATTTTTGTGGCGGGCGGAGAAGGGAGAGAAATGGTCGGTTTCCGTGTGCATCAGCATCTAGTATACGTATATTTGTCATGTCTGTCTTCTGCTTCCAACATATTCCCACGGCCGTTCTTTTCATCTCGCGATATGTTTTCTTATTCTCTATATTTTTCTTTTAGAGAATATCCACTTTATGTAAATGATTTCCGATTTGTCAAATTATAATACCTTTTAATAAACCATATAAAACGAGAGCCAAAACTTTATGAATCACCGGAATAAATATGGAATTATTCACATTTGATGATATAGCAGATCAAGACTGTTTTTTAAGCTTATGTTATCCGTCAGTGTATATTCATTTTCTATTTTTTTTTTTTGATGACCCAGGGAACCCCCGCACGGCCGAAAGCCGGGAGGTAAACCCTGGGGGCGACACATGCTAGCCACCACACACGTGCACCAGTTACGTTCATTTTTTATTTTATTTTTTTCTAATTTTGACGTTCGAGCCAAACTGATTTATCTTCGATGTAACCACACGTTGTCTGGACGTGGGATGTCTTTTAGATGCTTTTGTCTAGTTGAAGATATTGATTGTGAATTACGTAGTAACTATGAACTTATAAAATATCCAAAACACCCACGTATTTATAAAAGGAAAAAGGAAGTGGATCACATTAGAGATAACAAAAAAGGGAAAGAAAATGGGAAAATTATCAAAATAGTCTTAAACCTATTGCAATTGTGTCAATTCAATCATAACCCTTTTTTTTGCCAATTCAGTCATAAATCTTTTGCATTTGTGTCAATTTGGTCCATATGGCCAATTTTAGCCGATCGGCACTGACCTGGCAATTTTTTAATTTGCTTATTTTTTTCGATTTTTTTTCCTTTTTTTCTTTTTTTGCTTTCCTTCTTCCCCCCGCCGGCCACAAGTGAGGCTCGCCCTCGCCGTCGCGGGTAAGGTCAACCATGGCGAGCCTCGACCTCGCCCAACGACAACGAAGGCAAGCCTTATCATGGCTATGGGTGAGGTCGGCCATGGCAAGGCTCAACCTCACCAGATCTGGGGGAGGTCCAGCAGGCTCGCCGTAGCTGCTCGACCTCGGCATGGCTGTGGGCGAGGTCGGCCATGGTGAGGCTCGACCTCGCCAAATTTGGGCGAGGTCAAGCTCGCCCAGCCATAAAAAGGCTTGCCCTCGCGGTCACTAAGCGAGGTCGAGGTTCACCATGGCCAACTTCGCCTGCAACGGCAAGGTCGAGGCTCGCCCTCGCGGTGCTAGCGAGGCCTAGCCCCTGGCCGGTCGCAGGGAAAGAAGGAAAGAAAAAAAAAGGAAAGAGAAACGAAAAAATAATAAAAAATATTTTAAAAATGCCTCGTCAGCGTTAGCCGGACGGCCAGCGCCGGCCGTCACCCATCTCGGCGCCAGTCGACTAAAATTAGTCAGATGAACTAAATTAGCTCAAATATAAAAGGTTTAGGACTAAATTGGCAAAAAAAAAAGTTTATGACTGTTTTGGTAATTTTCCCGAAAGAAAATTGTTCGGCATATACAAAAAGATAAAAAAAGAAATCGAATCCATGAGATATTTTCAACATGATAAATGATAATAACAATATGATGATGTATATCCAAGCCCACAAATGTGTACCAAATAATACTAAATTGATGAGGTAAATGTTAGGAACACAAGGTTGCTTGCTGGTGCACATATGATTGCCCAAATAAAAGCAAGATTGGGAGTCAAGTAGGGTTGAACTTATGCATGAAATGGGGACAACTTTCTTTTTGGGGTTTCTCGATGAGTCTGGCTTTCCTCATCTACAAAAAAGCAAAAGGGGGAAAGAATAAAGGGCGAAATTGGTTTTGGCTTCTGAACTGCATGAATCTCCACACCAACTTTTGTTTGCATCAGAAATCAGGCTGAGTTTGCATTTGGGAAAATGACACAAACAGTCCCTTAACTTTGATTCAATGTGCAATTTAGTCCCTGAACTTTTAATTTATTCAATGTAGTCCCTGAACTTTAACCCAATGTTCAATATGGTCCATGAACTTTCAATTTGTTCAATGTGGTCCCTGAACTTTTAGTTCATATTCAATATAGTCCCTGAACTTTATAAAAATATTCAATGTAGTCCTTCCATTAATTCAAGTTCAGGGACTATATTGTATATTTTCATATAGTTCAGAGACTAAATTGAACATTTACTAAAAGTTCAGGAACCAGTTTGAATAAATTGAAAGTTCATGGACCACATTGAACATTGAGTTAAAGTTCAGGGACTATATTGAACAAATTAAAAGTTCATGGATCAAATTGCACATTAAGCCAAAGTTCAGGGACTGTTTGTGTCATTATCCCTTTGCATTTTTGTCCGGTTAAGTTAAGGCAGGCGACATCTGTCCGATTCCTCTTCTCTCGTGTGTTACTTTCTATATGGGATGTTACTGTAATATTATTCTTTTCTTCTTTTGGAATGTGACCATCCAAAAGGTGAATTTAATTATTCACGAGAACGAAGAGAAGGAAGAGAAACAGCTTTCAATGAACGAGACGACCTTTGTTGCGTGCACCGACAATGAATTGGGTGGAACAAGAGGGGAGAGTCGCAACCTTGTTCAATGCATTGAGTTTCATCGCGACAGCAACTTTAACGACAGGACCAACATGGGAAGTAAGTCCAAAAAGGGTGTCCATGAAACAATCAGAACCTGACACGTGTAGCTTTGGGTAGGCAAAGCCTAAAGGGGAGAGCACGTGGGGCGGCGAGACGGAATAGCAGCCTCAAAATGTTCGAAGTTCAACACATAAATTAAAATTTTCTATTTTGCAGAAAAAGTATAGTGATGGGGACCCACTTTCGTCTATACCCTTAATTGTGATTTTACTGGTAATGACAGGACCACAAGAATGAAATTGAAGAGAAGCTTAGGTGCTGCATGAAAACCATTCTGGTTCTGTCCAGAACTGGTTTTTTGTTCTCAGAATCAGTTTTGGATCAGAAACCCGTTTGGTAACGCAATTTCATTTTTCTATTTCCGGGACAAGTTTGCTTCCAAATCGATTGAAACCGTAAATGAGAACCAAAAAAAGTTGGTTTTTCATTTACGGAACAAAAGTGAGAACCATTTCGAGAATTCATTTTCTTCAACACACATATTCATATGGAAGTCACGATCTTTGAGGTGAGAAAAAAAAGTAAAAAATCAAAAATTTCAAAACTTAACAGAATGGTTTAGCATCTGTGGCTACCCACTTTCAGTGAAATTTAAATTTTTTAGGTACCGAAAAAAATAAATAAAAATAAATAAAAATAAAAAATTTCAAAATTTCACAAAATGGCTTAGAAAACCTATGGCCACCCACTTTGAGCAAAATTTAATTTTTTTAGTTGCCAAAAAAAAAATAAAAAATTCTAAAATTTAAAAACTTCACAGAATATGAATACCTGTGGCCACCCAATTTGAGCGAAATTTTATTTTTTTAGGTGCCGAAAAAAATTAAAAAAAAGTAAAAAATAAAAAATTTCAAAACTTCACAAAATGGCTTAGAATACTTGTGGCCATCCACTTTGAGTGAAATTTAAATTTTTTTAGGTGCCGAAAAAAATAAAAAAAATAAAAAATTTCAAAACTTCACAGAATAGCTTAAAATACCTGTGGCCACCCACTTTGAGTGAAATTTAAATTTTTTTATATGCCAAAAAAAATAAAAATAAGCAAAAAAGTAAAAATTTCAAAACTTTACAGAATGACTTAAAATACCTGTGGCCACCCACTTTGAGCGAAATTTTATTTTTTTAGGTGCCGAAAAAAATAAAAAAAAATTTTCAAAATTTCACAAAATGGCTTAGAATACCTGTGGCCATCCACTTTAAGCGAAATTTAAATTTTTTTAGGTGCCGAAAAAAATAAAAAAAATAAAAAACAAAAAACTTAACATAATTGCTTAGAATACCTGTGGCCACCCACTTTGAGTGAAATTTAATTTTTTTAGGTGTCGAAAAAAAAATAAAAATAGGCAAAAAAGAAAAATTTTCAAAATTTCACAGAGTGGCTTAGAATACATGTGGCCATCCACTTTGAGTGAAATTTAATTTTCTTTAGCAACCAAAATAAAATAAAATAAAAAATAAAAAATACCATTTGGGCATCTAAAAAAAATTAAATTTTACTCAAAGTGGGTGACTAGAGGTATTGTAAGTCATTCTGTGAAGTTTTGAAATTTTTGATTTTTTATGTTTTTTTTCACCTAAAAAAATTTAAATTTCACTCAAAGTGGATGGCCACATGTATTTTAAGTCATTCTGTGAAGGTTTGAAATTTTTAATTTTTTGCTTTTTTTTCACCTCCAAAAATTAAAATTTCACTCAAAGTGGGTGGCCATAGGTATTCTAAGCTATTCTGTAAAGTTTTGAAATTTTTGAGTTTTTGAATTTTTTTGGGCACCTTAAAAAATTTAAATTTCACTCAAAGTGGGTGGCCACATGTATTCTAAACTATTCTGTGAAGTTTTGAAATTTTTGATTTTTTTGATTTTTTTTTGCACCTAAAAAAATTTAAATTTCACTAAAAGTGGGTGGCCACAGGTATTCTAAGCAATTCTGTGAAGTTTTGAAATTTTTTATTTCTTGATTTTTTTTGAAAAAATTCAACAAATTTCCTATTTTCCCGAAATCTAAATTTTTTTTTTATTTTCTCGACATTTTGATGATTTTTTCTAGAATTTTTCAATATTTTGGGATTTTCTGAATTTTTTTAAAGATTTTTATGAATTTTTCGGATTTTTTATTATTTTTATTCCATTTCTAAAAAAATGGAATTTTGTTCCTGGAAATAGAATTTTCTGTTGTTTATCAAACGGGTTTTTATTTCAGGAAATAGAAATTTTTTGCTGTTATCAAACGGGTTTCTGTTCTAGAAATAGAAATTTTTTATCATTATCAAACGGGTTTTTTTTCTCAGAAACTCATCCAGGAACCAGAAATAGAAAAATCTATTTCTGGTTCAGGAACTCATTTCGGAACAGAATGGTTATCATTCGCTACCTTAGAGCCATCCCCGCCCTACCCTTGATTCTCCTTAATGACAAGTTTATTGATTTGACACAAATAAACATTATTTCCACACGCTATATTATCACTTATTGTTTTTGTCCATGTCTATAGCCTTATCTACCCTGTTGACATGATCGGTAATCAATACAAAAGTAATGTTGCAAGCTAAACTCGCTTTAAATCGAATAGACATGACCGACCAAAGTATACTAGTGGTTTTAGATTCAATATGATTCATTGATTTATTTAATCTGATGATATTAATTGATATTAATTCTTCCCCCCCCGATTATAACCGTTCACACACATGACCTTAGTTCAATTCCTGCATGTTTTGGTAATTATAGAAAAACAAAGTGTAGATAAGCCGATTGACGTTTGTGTAAGTGGATTTGTCCAAACATTCGTTCTTAACACATTATTTTTAAGAAAGAGATGTTAACTCAGCTAAAATTGACCGAAGTGACTACGTCGAAAAACCATCAAAAGGCTTAGGATGAATTGGCCAAATTAAAAAGTCTAAAACTAAACTCGCCAGTGTGCAATATGCTTAAGATTTTTGGACATTCTTCCACCAAATGGATTATTTGAGTAGTCTTATATTTACCAAATTCAACTTATTTCCCAAAAGTTCTCCGTTAGTTCAAGAGTTGCTCCTATGATTAATTCAATCAAGGTAGAACCATTCAACAATGTGTCATTTTCTGGACATGACCTGTGTTGGGAGCATATATTATCAGCTACCATCAAAGAGATAGATCATGCATCCGAAGAAACAGAAGAAACAAAAGAAAGATCATCTTCTTAATAATCAGAATTGAGAGAGAAAGGAGTCTTCTATCTAAACAAATTTTTGTTTAGTAATTATTGATGCAAAAGAGCTCCGATTATTTTCTTTGTTTACATACAATTTTAAGATCAGTATCACCGTTGACATGACCAAATATACAGCCTCCTTCCAATGACTCGAGCTAAAATTTACCTCTACACATATGAAGTAAAGCTCACGTAATGGGCATCATAGCAAAAACAACGCCCAGGAAGGTTAAATCAACAGGCAAAAAGAATATTACACTATCGACTAAGACTGAAGCTTGTGTAGAAATTAATCCAAAGATCAACGGACCTGACATTTATAAGTCAACCAACCCGCTCTAAAAGACCAGAAGATCGCGGAGCGGCCAACAGTGAGTTTCGGACATCACCTTGTACAGTCTTCAGCAGCATTAGTATCATCTGTCCGACTGCCCAATCTGACAATGTCTTCCACGAGAATCTTCCCATCTAGGATAAGATAGTGATACACATGCCATTATTCACACGATATCAAATAAAAATTTAACCGGCTTCTTGAACTTCATTTCAAAGTGAAAAGACCAAAGTTTAACATTTCAATTGATGTTTGGTCAACCTCTTTCTTCAACACCATTGCCCTATCAATGCCCAATGGAAAACTGCGAGCTAAGCCATAGCAAAAAGGAATCTGACTAGAATTGCATACTCTAAGCATACAATACACACAAGTTTCTTTTAGTAAACTCTAAGGAAACCTTTCACAGATCAATTGTCAAGATGTTACTAAAATAATTTCCAACCGTCTCAAGAGTTGTGCCTTGTTCTTTCTAAAGTTGAAAAAAAAAACATGTCGCAAGAGAAATCTAGATCTAGTAGCTTACCTCTATCTTTAGATAGATTGCTGATTAGTTCTTGTATACCCTCCTTGTCCAGAGTATTTTTCAAATACAAAGCAGCAGCAGCAACTTCCTCAGGTGTCACCTTCCCATCATGATCCCTGCACGAGTGGCACCTTGAACGTGTCAGTGTGTGACATACAGTAGTGAAAACATCTAATGTATCAACTTACACTCTTCAAAACATACCAATAGTGACGTGTATCATACAGTTAATATATTTTCACAGTTTTTCAATATAAAGGCACTATTCTGTTTTCAAAAATTTAATGAGATAGTGAGATGACTTAAAAAGCTGTAACAAAGAGACCCTTATTATTAAACTATTAAATGCAATATCAATGCTGTTCTTTTTTATATGATTAAGCCAGACTCCATTCAAGAGGCACTACTGGGATTCCCACTCCACTTATTGGGAAAAGACTCGGTTATTGTTGTTGTTGTTGGTACCAAAGGGATGCAGACTCTCGACAAAACTCATGCATGAGGCAAATTGTCCATTATATCTAACATACCATGTTCTTATAATCATGGTTTAAGAAAAGTTAGTGTTAAAGAACTAAGAGTCCATCCGTCACATTTACAAGAACACTCTCTACAACCTCAAGCACTCTTCTATTCCTTTCACTCTATACTAAAAGTTAAAAAGTAGGGATCACATGTAGTCATTTCCCTTAAGTTGCTCAATCAGGTAACCCAAGCCTTTGCTCCTCCATAGATGTGATCTCTTTGTACTCTCTTCCCGTGATCTTCTCATATCTAATTAAAAGCTCATTTTCCTTTTGCAGATTTCAATAAAACTTTTCAAAACTAGATCTCTTCAGGGCTTGTTTTAACGCCTGTGAGTTCCTTTCACTGCACAACGGCAGTATATTCTATCATTATCATACAATTAAAATGAAATACCTCAATTTTCAATCTGACTTCAAATTTTGTCAGACTAAAGTTTGCACAAATGTCCTACCATTTGTTGTTTTGGCACTTGGTCAGGTCAAATGAGTACCCATCTTTCTAAGATGAAATTTTGCTCCAATTTTTTTTTAAACTAGATTTGCCTTCTCTCCTTCTATGATATAAGGCCAATTAGAGCACTTGACAATAGTTTAATTTAGAGATGTTAGTATATAAGATCCAAAAACCCATCTAAGGCACAAAATTCCTATATCTTATAAGTTATGGAGCAATTAAAGTGGTGTAAGCATGTTCAGAACATTACAAACCTATCAAGTAGTCGCCAACGGTCACCAATTACAGCATCAACAGTGTCAATTTCCTTCTCTAGATTCTGAAGCATAGCATCAACCTGAAAGTATGACAATGGTTACAAGAAAATCATGTACCACATGACAGGTGTATGGCAATTCCACTCAAGTAGCCATTTTTGGGGGTATTAATTTTTACCCTGTCTATTAGTGCAGATGAAACTGCATCCTGTTCAGCGACTTCATCCATCTGATCATTTTCCTCTCGTGCAGCCTTATACACCCTCATAGCATCTTTCTCACCATCTGTCTCCTCTTTGTCCACAATGCTATTATAGAGCCCTATCTGAACATATGAAGAAATTCATGCAACATTGTAATGATAGACCAGCTGGATCCTCTACTTGACTTTAGAAATATAGCAAGCAAATCCTCAAGGATCTACCTGAGTAATGCATCAAAATCAAAACAACACCACCAAGAAAATTTCTTATTGCTACATCATGAGTGCTCAGATAACTACTGACCACGTATTATAAACCACTGAAAGCAACATGGTAGTCTAATATTCTTGGCGCAGAAATCTCCAAGTAAAAAGTAAGGGGCAGTGCAAAACAGGAGAAATTATGGAACCGACTGATAAGCATCTTAAGAAAACCTAAAAGAAGGTTGAGCATGTGTACAAAAAAACAAAACTACACTCTTCTCAAAGACAAAAATATGGGCAACTTTCATGCAAATTCTGGTGACAAAAGATCTACCCCGCAGTACAGATATATAACACATCATCCTATGAAGTCTGTCAATGTAGCAAAAAGAGTATAAAAGATGCAGTTTTCCCGGAGGTAAAATCAAGCCATACCTCTTTATTGACGAGCTGCAAGAACTCCTCACGCTCCCTACTCACTGACTGCAAGAGTTGACAGAAGACAGAAAACCAATTCTTGTCATGAACTGAGAGGAAGACTGTCTATAACAATTGGTTTAGAACACAAATCACAGCATTTCAGGCTCTGATCCTTACAGATGCTGAAGCTAAAACAGCCAAAGCCTGACTTATTTCACAGAGGTGCTCGTGCTTCTCTAATGTTCTTGCTATAGCTTGTTTCTGTGCTTCCTCTGCTGTTGGCAGATTCATCTCCTCTAAAGCCACATCTACCCTACCAACTCCAGACTCCTTACTCTTAGTTTGCTCTTCTTCTTCTCTCTCTTCCTCCTCCTGCAGAATAGAAGTTATAACATCTAAATTCATGACAAGCTGCAGGACAATAGAAAACTGCGGCAGATAAACTAAGGGTGCATTTGCTTCGGGAAAAATTTCATGACAAAGGAAAATGCTTTCAAGGAAATTTCAGGAAAATGTTTTTCCCTTTTCAAGTTGGGGAATTCATTTTCCTAACTTTAAGCATGCATATTTTCTTTGACCCTAATTGATTTTCCGTTGACCAATCATTTTCAGCAAACCAAACACGTGAAAGTCCAAAAAATTATTTCACGGAAAATTCTTTCACTCAAACAAACACACCCTAAATGAAATACAAAAGGCAAGGCTTAAACTCAGGGCCTTAATTGCAGAATTAAATAAGTGGACCTCTTCCATTCCACTGCTGAAATTTTTATTGATTACCTTACAATTACAAATACATGACGATTGCGTATAGTGAAATATTTATTAAAAGATGGCGGTCTAGTATTAGATTTTTCCTAAGTACAATGATGGAAAAAAATAATGACAATAATACTAATTATCAGCAAGGTGAACTACAGCAAAAAGTTCTTCGAGTTGCTGTATCACAAAGCATAGAAAAACAAAGGAAAAGAGGAAAACCTTTATCAGTTCTTCTTGCATTGCTAGGTACTCCAATTTCCTTCTCCTTTCAGACACAGAATCTTCAGAAGGTAATGAGGTAACACCAACAGTATCCACAACTTCATCTGGAAGAGAAGAAAGTGTGGCTCCAACAACTTCCTCTAGTTTGAGCCGTCCAGATACAACAAAGGCCCTGCATATGGGATCCCACAAATATAGCTGAACATATTGCATCAAAGGTGAAGAGGAATTAAAGGATCAACAAAGCAATCTGATTAAGTAGTGATATTGTTTAAGCACCACTCAACCAATTAGGGGACAAGTTAAAATACAGCCAGAGCAAGCTTTTACCTGGAAAGGATCAAAAGAGAGGATGGTACAGAGTGATTCAGAGACAAGTCCAACCAATCACGAAGCTGCAGAAAGGACAACTCTTAAACCATCGAAAAAACTACACTGCTATTTGACTGAACTTAATCGACGTTACTAGAAACATTATATTTTTTCCAGTAGTCACAGGCAAGGCGCCATCTATGACCCACTCTGATCAGGAAATCGTGATTCTAAAGCTATTCCAGGAAGAAGGAGATTCTAGGAGACGAGGAATAGACACCTCCAAAAAGGCAAAAAAAAGTAACCAATTTTTCTCCACTCATAACCCCGCAGTTAAAAGGATGAGGCGAGATAACAGAAGCACTAACAAAAACTCCATCTTGCATAGAGATGCTTAATATACTAAAATAGCAAGTGACCAATTGAGTGCAGTTGCCCTAACTTCTGACATATCAGACAATTCAATTATGGGTCACCAAACTCAATAAAGGAAACGACTTTCTATATTTCTGTAAAATATTAACTTATGGATGTAGAGAGAGAGAGAGAGAGAGAGAGATAAAACCTATTTTTCATAAAGAATATAGGTTGACGACCACACAAGATAAAACCTATGCATGCATAGGTAAGAGGGGAAGGCCGTCTTCCTCAAGAGAACAATAGATTAAGGGGAGAAAAAGAACCTGTTGGCGCATTTCTTCAACAGAACGTAATCCAAGCATGCCTCTTTCCCTACAATCTTCGCGAAGCTCCTCCTCCGAGAGGGACTCCAACCCCTCAGCTTGAATTAGTTGATCATCTTCTTTAATGCTGGAGTCATACCAGAAGAAATGTGAGGTTCAGCCATAAAAAAAATAATCGCCATTTCTAATTTGCGCACAAAGAGCAGTTCTTATCACCAGACAAAAGAACGGAGCATAAATAATTTGATTTAGGAGACTCACATGGCATAACATTCTCAAAGTAAACGAGAATAAAGTAAGATTGATCTGAATTGTTTCAAGAACATTTAAGTTTATAGATGAAGAAATATGCTGTTCCGGATTCCAATCGGTTTTGACAAACAAAAATCAATTAATGAAGATCAGTAGAGATATTCAAGAAAAAGTCTGAAATGAGAAGGATCCTGTCCAAAGTTGATAAAGCAAGATGTGCAGCAACCATTACACATAGGACTTTGCTTAATTAAATGTGCCATCATGAGTCCTAAATACATTTACTCGATCTATGTCACAGGCTCTGCACTAGTAAAACATTTTGATCAAATCGGTAGCATTTAAACAGAAGAAGTGTTCGAAGCAGTATGTTTGCTAGTGAGCTTGAAGTTTCTGGGCTAAATATAAACCAAAAACGATAGAAAAATAGTTTAGCTGGCCGATGAAGAGGAGAATGGCCCTGCTTCTTTGCTAGGACGCATATTATTCAACCTGACTGAGTATCTGAGCCATTTCTTGTCAAGTTCAAAGAGAAGATAATTATCCATTGTGGGGCTTCAAATAAATTGATTACTTGTTAAAAGAGACCTAGTTAAACAGACTGTTGAAGCTTAAGTTAAAGAAGATACTGAGTGACAGAAAACTGTAGTTTGCCGCATTTCATCAATATTCACGACACAGACTAGCTGTACTATTCAGTTGCCTATTGCATTGGATCATCACTCAAATAAGGAAAAAGTGATCTATGCCATCCAAGTCTCCATCATTTCCACCAATCAAGCCACAATTAAATTCAATTTGAAAAGAAAAAATCTAGCTCCATACAAACGTGAAGCAGTTTACTATTTGTACAAAGCTCAAGGAGGAACTAACAGGGGAGAAGTCCCAATTAATTAACTCTGTCCTCACAATAGCTAGTTTAGTCCCTAATTTGCTGAAGACGTTAAGACTAAAGGAACCCATCGGCAATAGGTTAGAAAAAGAAATTAGTATGACAATTAGAGTATTTGAAAGATTTACATAAAGAAAAGCGTGTAGATTGCACAAGACGCATATAAAAAACATCAGTCAACTAGTTCATTGAGCAACAAAAGCACCATCAAGAGAAATAATGTACGCATAAAGACTATTTCTAGCATTTCCAACAAAACTAGAATATGAGAATGAACTTTTCCACTATAGCAAAATGAAGAATGTATAACTGATTATCCCTACAAGACTCCCAAGAGGATACTCCAAAAGTCTAAAATACCACCACATTAAAACATGGAAGAAATTTAATTTAGGGACAATATTCCTGACCTCCGAAGCCGCTTACGAAGCATGTAGCGTAAATATGCATCTGTTCCAAATGGGCTGATTCCCATATATTTGCACATGTTTACTAGTCTAGGTCTGAAAGAAGTGAGATGAACCGACAGAAAAAAAAAATGGCATCAGAGCTAATCCAAGCAAAGAGTTCAGAAATAAAGGAGCAAGAGATCAACTCTAAGAAAGGCCTACCTACTGATATTATCTAGAGTAAGCTCATCATTGAATAACTTGGCAAAACTCAAAATTTCTTCATTATTCACTTGGGAACCTGTTCTGACCTGAGTATCAACATATAATGGTCAGATATTAAAATCAGAGGCCAATAACATGAACAAAGGCTTGAGAATTTGTAACTCAACCCTACCCGATTGAGAAACTCATCAAGATCTTCCGCAGTTTGCTTTAATTCACCACTTCTTGAGTTTTGAACTTCTTTAGCCATTTCTTTGACTGTGTCTTGCAGAAACTTGGCATATTCAATTCTCGCATTTAACCTCCGTTTTAGTGCTTCCTGCACATGAATGAGTTTCAATGAAAAAATGAAATCTATTTCAAATCAACAATATCCAAACTAAATATGAATGAGTGCACCATAACTGTGTCAAAATCATCATGTCCATAGGCAACCTACTAAAACTCAATAAAGTGTAAGAAACATGGGCAATATATGCAGCAGGCATTCTCTATTTATATGCAAAGACTATTTGACAGCATATTCCCGCAATATAGCAATTTTATACATTATCATTCACATCAATCATCTTAACACGAATTTAGATGAGCAGGGAAACAAGAAGCACAGCGTAAAGCAGCGTATGATATTTTCAAACAGGGAAAACTCCTTTCTAGCAAAGAAAATTGATGGACATAGTAGCAATAGAAGACGCAAGAGGTACATGCATTGGAAGGTTCCACATTATGCAGGAATACCCATTTAGGTTCCCAAACAGAAGTGGAATTTTGAAATTGGGAAAATAAGTCAGCCTTTAACAGGTTCTATTTCACCGACAGAAGTTCATATTATATGAAGCCGACTCCTCGAGGAACCTTAATACCAAAGTTTGAACAGAGAAATACAGATGAATAGAACATGAAAAGGGTCAAAGCATTATGTAGGACGGACTGCTTTATATATACCTGCTCTTTCATCTTGTCTTGAAATGTTGAGGGCAACATATTGGGGAACAACTTGAGAAATACCGGCAGCAAAAATTCCATGAATGGAACGATTATGAACACCGCAAAAGGAACTAGCCTAAAAATATCGGCTGTTGTACGGGTTAGCTGCTGCCTCTCCCTTCTTGATAGACTCTTACCATCTGCAAGTTTTAAAAGCAATCTAGAACTAATCCTCACATCTGCCCACAATAACTTCGTCCCCAACCAGTAATGTTGCAATGTCGACACAAATTCTGCTTTCCAATGCAAAAGTTTCTTGGCCCAATCCTCTCTGCCGGAGAAATCACAAATACAGCAAGAAGATGTGAGTAAGAAATTCTGTCTACGGACCAAACTATTTCAAAAACTAGGAAACAGATGCTAACCTGCTCATGGAAGCCACGGCTCTCAAAGCAGGACCGATCCCCAGGAGACTGGCCCATACCCTTTGCAGGATGGACTGGGCTGCTCTTTGTGACTCTTGCAACTTTTTAGCTTTTGCTTTTGCTTTGGCAGAACTTAGATCAGCAACAGCTTCATCACAATCTTCTGCAGATGCTTCCTTCCTCCTTTTAGCAACTAAATCTTCATTGCCTTCATCGTCACTACCCAGCTCCTGCTGCTTCGCAGCAGCAGTGGAAGCATGGCAAGTGGAGTGCAACATCCACCTCAGACCCAAGGGATGCATGAGTTCTTGTCGTACATTTCCTCGAACATACCCAGCATTTCCACATATCCCCCCAAAATGTCCAAATCCTTGATTGCTAAGCAGTTTCTCTTTTGCAATCAAGAGAGCCGTGCTATTACTTTTTCTGTCTACATCTGCAGATGGAAGTTCAGCAATGTTGCTGTAACCATGCAGATCTCTGTAGAGAGGAGCATGCTCATGCCCAAGACATTGGAGATATTGAACCGAGCGAACTGAGGAATGCAAGTAATCCGAGATGACGCTCTTCCTCCTGACAAGTGCTCTAGATGCCATCCTCACAGGAAGGTCTCCTCAAGAAGAGAAGTACATCCAATTTCTCACCAAGCGCCCAGTATATCTCAAAAGGGTTACTTTTCATAGAACCACGCTGAGAACAACAACCACGGAGGGAACAATTAGAAGGAGGGCCTTGTCAATTCAGGACACCGCAATCAGGAATAACAAGAACCATGGAAGTAGTACACTGTAGTATGACCACATGTAGACACCTCAACTGTATATATATATCTCACACATAGCAAAACCCACAGACCGGAAGAGTGCCGCAGCCCAAAAAGGGAATTCTCAGAACGAACTCGCGTAAAATTTGAAGTCCAGTGCATTTTTTTTTTTTAACACCAAAAAAAACACGATGAATCCGAGAACAAAAACAACAACTTTCGATAGAAACGAAAACCGATGAATCCTCCCCCGACGAACACGTACATATAAACCAAATCAACCTTGTCAAAATCCTTTCCAAAACATGTAAAAAACACAAACACAAAAAAGGAAAAAGAAAAACGATCCGCCGCCGCCGCCGCAGCAGCCGCCCCCCCCCAAGCGAACGAAGACGACCTCGTTGATACGGCACGTCGAAATTAACAGCTCGAGCTTGCCGACCAGCACCACACGCTATCGAGGCGATCGGGCCACGACCAAAACCAAGCGGACGTAACGAAGAACGACGGCCCATCGCGCGAATTCCAAGTACGGGATCAAAGGCGCCGCCATTTCCATCGATCACAAGAGCTAAGCTGTCGAAATAGAGAGAGAGATGTGGAAGGCGATGAAACACACTCACCGGAATCAATTTGGTCGCCAGCGGGAGTGACCGCGAGCGAGAAAGAGAGCGAGCGAGAGCTAGGTCTCTGTCGAAACTTGCGGGAGGAGAAACGGGAGAGACAGAGAGAGAGAGGTTTAAAGGAGGGATTAGGAGAGTTATTATACGGTGCGGCGGACGTCCACGAAAACGGAGCTACGGGAACCGTCCGATGCGGTTAGATCGGTCAAAGACTGAGGAGGGTCAAAGGAGCCCGGGCCGGCGGGTCCCACGGAGATCGTTGACCGCTTTGACGCTCGACGGTACGTCCACGTGTGGGATTCATTTTTCAAGTGCTGTGATTGCGCCACGTGCTGGAAAGGGGAAATTATCCTTTTCACCACGTGGGTCCCAGACGAATTCCCCACGAAAGTTTCAACGGCAGAGATTACGAACGATCCTTAGATCCGGTCCAGGCAAAAAATCTCGTGTGCCCCCGCGCGACGACTCGACGGAGGACCTCGCTTGTTGATGCGGAACGTCTGTGGTTGTTACTGTTTTGATTCTCGAACAACATTTGGCATATGCCGATTGATTGATATTGAGGACACTTGACGATATGAATTGGTAGCGTGGTTCAATTGCAGAGCAAAAGTTTGCGCCCCTTCGAGTGTTGGGTGATGAGAAGAGAGACAGTGCCAACTTGAACAATTTTAGCCATTTAATATGTCTTTGCTTAATATGGCATTATCTCAAAAGATAACATTAGATGCCGATATGGATAATCAATGCCATCTAACGGCAATAGTGCCCAAATTGGTATTTTCCATCTACAATTTTAACAGAGGCCTCACATTCATCCTTATTTCAAATAAAAAAATGTTAGAGTATGCGATTATACAAGGGACCAAAATTCAAGCAGCTTGCAATGTCATTGCGCCTGGACTTAATCAAGGATCTACATTTTATCTAATCGTGTTCGATCCCATAATTGTTGGATGTCTCGGTAACTTTCGCCTCGTGTGATATACTAGTATGGAAACTACTGAACTATCATAAAAATCTTTCACATATTATACATACACATAATAATGGAGCTGAAAATAGAAGAACAAAAACTAAAGCTTATTACATTTTCACCCAGAGGTCTCTTACATAGACATTATTACATATTTCCAACGGGGTAGCCCCACAACTGAACGCGAAAATGACTCGAGCATTGTTTGCTTCCTTATCCAGTAGCATAGAGTGCTTCCTCTCATTTCCTACATATAGTTCAAAGAATATGATTTAACTTTGATTGAAGTATTTTGTGCAATAGAAGCCTGATCTCTCCAGAACAAATGATGGCAGTCATGTCGTGTTCCGATGCAACGATGGTCTCGTGCCAGCTTGCCTTATAATAAATTTTTTCACTTGTTGGTATTCTCAATAAGTTTTTGGGTAAATTCCTGCGACTGATCCTGCCAAACATAGGAGTCGGGCACCGTCGCGGCTTGTTTACCTGTATCTTTCAAAACAAAATACTTGGCTGTCGCCCAGTTGCAACGGTCGCAACTACTTAGTTGCAATCGAATGAGTGGCTGTCATCTGTTGTTATACTCACTACATGTACTTTTATCACGCGTCACATGTTCTTACCTTCTTCATTTCCAGACACATCAATACCGCTGTCGCCCTCTCTACCCATCATGCCATTTAGACAAATAAAATCTTAGTAATTGAAGATAAAAAGGACGCGAAGCATACCAAGGAAGCTTGAACGTATCCTTCCACCAGCCCTGCTTGGAACAATTTGCAACTATCTTGTCCAAACGTACAATAATTTCAGAAAAAGTTGGCCTCATGACAGATTTTGGATCCCAGCATTCCTCTATCAACCTGCACATTTCCAAGATATGCCCATGCAACAGCATGCTTGAGAGTTAGCGACCATCAAGAAATCATCTGTGCTCTAGGGAAGAAAAGGTCATGATTATCAGTCATCACAGATCGATCATCATTCCTTACAACGAAAAGTAGCAGTCATAGTTACAGCCCTTTCACTAAATCAAGAGTAAGCGAGGTCAAAAGGAAAAAGAAAGGCAGTACAATCCGACAGCAAAAATATGTCAGCCTCATTTTGTAATGTACTTACTCTTTCAACTCAGGAGGGTAGTATTTAGCTTTGATCTTGAAAGGCGGTCGTTTTCCTTCCAAACATATCATTTTGGCTGCCTCTTCTGGAGAACTGGGAGAGAAAGGCTGAACCCCTTCAATCATCTATGCCAATGTGAAAGCAGGTGGTTAACATTTCAGTGGTGGTGACCGATATTCATCATCATATAAATCTGAAGCAAATGTCAAGCACCATATGCACACATAATTAACTCACTAAATCAAACAAATATCATGCTTGAGTAACAGAGGTGAAAACAAGTTTGTCTGGCAAACCAACAGTGTCAATTTTGGCAAGAATTGTAACAGGGCTCTTGGACATGTTAAACTGAATCGAAGACACTGAACACATGGATGTGTTTGATTTTATCCTGAATAAAAGTCCATTACCTCATAAAGAATGAGACCAAAGGAAAAGGCATCCACACTTCTATCAAATATTTCATCATTATAAACCTCAGGTGCCACATATAAACCTGCATAGGATGGATACCATGAGTAAAGCTTGATGAAGAGTTGCATCGGAATAATTAATCTGATTGCTTAAAATTAGATGATGCCAATTCTATTGAAAGGAGAACTTGGTATGTAGAATGGTAATATAATCACAAGAGGACTAAATTTCTGCCATCCGCGAAAGGACTGCGTTTTGGGGAAAGATGTTGAAAACTGAGAATTTCCAGGAGTTTATCTATCTTGGATCCTATAAGTGAAATTTGTAGCTTGTTTAGCGAGAAGGATATCTTTCCTATCTAGTGTTCACATGGATGTAAAATGATTTTGTGCTTAGGGACTCCTACCAAAGATATTTCGTTCTTTGGACTAAATTTTGACTATTCATGCAAAAGCTCATTGACAACCAAAATTGTATTGCCATGAGGATGCTAGATATTTCAGCACAAAATTTAGTAGCAGCTACATCAATGAAACAATATTTGTTTTCTGTATCAAGCTGTCAATTCTTTCAATTTATCCAATCAAACTTCTAACAATTATACAGAGACCAAAAAGGAAGGCCTGAATTTGTACTTTGCCATTGTTATTTGAGGTTTATATGTCTGAGCACAGTGAAAAAAGATAGAGATCTAATAAGATTAACTTCCAGAACTTTTGACAACTTACGCGACAGTTCAGCTTGAGTCCCAGGGTGTGCAAGTTTTGCTTGATCAGGGGATACTCTTGCCAAACTTATCAAACCAAATCCAGAAATCTTTAACTGACCCCCACTATCCAGCAAGATATTTCTGGCACCTTATCAATATTTCAGATATTAAAGAGATCTGGAAAAACATAATTGATATCCAGTTTGCAATAGTATATTAAATCAGCTCCAGCATTTAGTTGTCTTACTTAGGCTTTAAGTCACAATGGATGATGGGATCTGGTTTACATTCGTGAAGATAATTCATACCCCTGAGATTACGGGATCAACAAAGAAAAGTTTAGAATATGGCAATCAGATACAATGTACTACAATTAAAGAGAAAATTATAATATTGCCAGAAACCTCAAATGCAGATGCTATTAGCTTTAGTGCATGTACCTTGCAATATCAAGAGCAAACCGTAGAGCTTTAGATGGAGAGAGACGCCCTTTCTTCTGAAGATAGCTTCCAAGATCACCCTGAAACACCAATAACAATATGCATTATAGCCATTAGGCAAGAAAGAGAACCGTCCTGACCAAAATAGCTTTCTTGTACTCTTCAAAAAAATTAAAGGAGGGAATTTATGAAATCCATACAAGTACTACTAGGATAAAAAAAGAGAGCAAAAAAAAAGATTTTGCTGACATTAATAAACAGGCTCCAATTCAAAGTCTCTGATTTTTAAAGGATCAAAACACATGAAGAAAGTTACGGATTAAAGGAATCTACGTCTGAGAACAACCTTTTCCTGCATAGGAGGACATCCATCATTTGAGCGACACAATAGTCTACCATTCCCATGATATAAAAGAGGACTAGTCATAACGGACATTAACCCATGGAATAACTGATTTCCCTGCTCTAGTCGTGAGGATTACCCAAATCTACAAACCTTCTATTTTTTTCAGTTCCAGTGTTTTAGATAAGGACCTCTCCACAGTACCACTTTGAGCGGTCTCCCCAGTCAAGAGAGCCTAAGCAAAAACAAGTTTTGGTTTTCTCTTTGTACTCTTAATAGTATCCCAGATTTAATAACATTACACAACTGTCACCTATCTTAGAACATGGATGCAAGCCGTTCCATTATGAACTTTAGGCAGGAGAAATTTTTTTCTTTCACTCAAGTCCTGACATTCCCTCCCAACTCCTCCAGAACACTAAGGAATTAGAAACACATAAATTAATACAAAGAAGACACGCACAGCCAGCACATGAACAAATGCCCGAACAAACATGAACGCGTGCGCGCGCGCACTTAGAGAGAGAGATACTCACTTTTGGATGGTACTCCAAAACAATCATCAAGGGCATGTTTTGGGTGACAGCTCCAACAAACTGAACCACATTCGGATGTCTCACTTTTTCTAGTAACTCTAACTCGTGCTTGAAAGCATTTCTGCTCATAAAAAAAATATAAAGTTCATTGAAGGCGTTTTCCAGTCACTATGGAATTATATAACATAAGTTTAAGAATGCAATGTGCCTCTAGGCACAGAGAATGATGCTGTAAGTTGTAAAAGTGAATAAACCTCTTGTGAACTATACGGAATTCGGTTACATAAAAAAACGAATCAAGTGAAAAAGGTCCAGCAACGTAGAATCAAGATGTTCTCTATTCTAATATAACGGATTTCCGTGGCTGGGACTAACAATAGTGGCCTTGCGTTCTAAGAGAAGGAAGAGCAGAGATTAGTTTATTAATAAATTTCATTAGATATGACTCCTTTAATTCCTGATAGATGAACAATTTCAATACTAAAGCTTTATGATTTCAAAGCTAGGTCAAGACAATGTCTTCCTGCTCCTATCCAGGTTGTGCCCATTAACATGCAATTCGATGATGCACCAAACAG